CATGCATGCATGCATACATACATACATACAGCTTTATTTGATAATGCAGGTTTACAGAAATTGGCAAGACCTAAGGCCTGATGCAGACCTGCCTGACTACAACTTGAACCAAGGAATACCAGTAGTTCATGTAGTGTGATCGTCAGCAACAACAGTTCTTTTCAGAACCGACCCTCATCTAGACAATCACAACAGAGAGGAGCTAAGGTACCCATATGAGGCAGGAACATGTAAAAGAGACTTGTCATCAGAGCCTTATTCAGGGTAGTCTATCACTACCAGAAAAACAAAACTATCTAATAAGTAAGAGGAACGAAGACATTCGGGAACCAAACAAAGTGTCCGCGTAGCGAATGACAGAAATTCATTAAGGTCCAAATTTTAATAGAATCATTCTAAAAACAGGACCCTAGCCAGACAATAAAATGACTGAGGCAATTTCCATGTCCATAGTTAAATTCCTGTCCTATGTACTTAGGGGTTTTTAATGACTATAAATAACAAAAACGAAAAGAAATGACTGAGACAATTGCCCTGGTTTGTTTCTTTCTATCCACGACCCTGTAAAGAAAAAACAATAATGATTAGCGCAATCTGCAACAGGGTACCTTCCTTCTCCTCAGGATTGTCGTAATGTATCTCCAATATCACAACCTTTGGACTGTCAGCCCTTCCGAGTGGAAACCCAGCGTTCTCAGGATAATAGAATTCCTTGTACAAGAAGAGAAACAATTTCCTACATTAACAAGGGATATGCCGAAATAATACGAACTTAAGATTCGACGTCTACCGAATACGACTACGTTCAATTAAAAGAACAAATGTTCAGATGTTGTTGTTCATAGTGGTCAGTGCACTTAGCTACAACTAGCTAGTTTACAGGCATGTCACTTAAATCGGGAGAAAGAAATATAAAAAGGCTTAGTGCTACTAGTTCGAAGGTCCTCACAGCTCTTGAGTTTTGTCAGTAAGTCTCATTCTGGGTGGGATACTTATGCATATTTTGTTGCAATTACCACAGGGCAAGTGATACCGTTCCCTTCTAGGTACTCATTGATGGTCAGGTCTCCTACCAATGTACCAGGGTTCGAATGCTGGGCCTGGAGACACGTTTAATTGTCAACTGTTGGTTTTTCGTCCTTGCTCCGAGTTTCCGCCTTTCTCAAAACCGAATACTCCAAATGCAAATTCAATCTTGCACGTGTCGCCGATTAGTACGGCCTTGTAGTCTAGCCAGAAGCCTGGCAAACTGATTAACATCTTCATTTTATTTCACTTCTTTTGCTATTTTCACTTAAAAAGAGAACCAAGCTTTACTTACTTTTCCACCAATGGCCCAAGCGGCTATAGATGATCCTCCTGTACAGTCTTCGACCGCTGGAGGCATATTACGAGTATAACAGCGACCGGTATAATTCAGATGGTGATCTGGGAAAGTATCGCTGCACTCGTACAACAACATGTGATGGACCACGCCTTCATGACCTGCTTGAATGACCGGCTCAACCTAAGTTTGAATCAGAAGCACAAACGGTAATTTTGTTGTCAGTAAGTTGGGTTTATTGAAACTTTTTTCCATCCATGAGGTGAATTGTGCCGCTGGTGGCTGAACTTTTAGAAATCGCTACTTCACAAATGTTGCTATAAAATCCAGATTGGTCTTGGCAACCCCATAAGGCTTTTACCAAGCTTTTGAAAAGACGATTTACTCGAAGATATTGATACTTTCAATGGCTGTTCATTAATCCTCTGCGAATATTTTGATATGTCAATTGTGTGTCCACGATTTTTGACGACGCCATGGCAACCTAAGCTCTAGGTAGGTTTGGCCAAAAATCATCTTTTTTGAGATTATTCTCTATTTTTCCAGTTTTCTTCATCAAATTGCAGACATTCTTGAATGTTTACATTCCGTAAGCATATTGGCTTGATTTTCTATTAATTTCCGTTATTTCTTGACTTTTTAACAACATAGTGAAATTTAAGATGGCTGATCCAGGATGGCGGATCAAGTGACGTTATTTTACGCCATATGACGTCAGGGCTATCTACTCAATGTAAATTTATCTTACTGTGCCTTAACTAGCTATACTCCTTAAAATGAAAAATGAATTGTCCTCTGAAATTGTCCAGGAGAGTTTCCACTGACGTTTTCCTTAGACATACGTGAACCACTTTCGACGTACCTACTCTGGACGGAAAAATCACCTACCCCACCTTAATAACATACCAACCGACCGACTTACCTACCTACCTATCTACCGACGCCAACCGAATCTATCTACCTACGTACCTACATGTACCTACAGACCGACCGACCGACCTACCGACCTACCGACAGACTGACCGACCGACCCACCGACTGACTAACTTACCTAACTACTTACCTACCGACCGACTTACCGCCCAACAATTACTCAACCTCGCTTGTCACCAACCAATGTTGGTGTTCTNTTACCGTCCAACAATTACTCAACCTCGCTTGTCACCAACCAATGTTGGTGTTCTATTTTAAATAATCCGTGTTTTTTTTTGTTTTGTTTTTTGTTTTGTTTTTTCAAGTAGTTGAAACGAAATATTCCTACCTTAATCATATGGTGGGTTTCGTTAAATTTTGGCATCTCAAATACGGCACACAGGTAGTTGGTTCGTCCCTTTGGAATGGCCATCTGGAAAATAAACATAAAAAGAAGGCCTCTTTAAGTAGAGCTAACTAGTTATATACGTAAGAATATTCAAATGGAGTAGTTTTATTATTATCTGCACTTTTGGAAGTGTTAAGGGCTTAACCTTAATCCTACTCAGACCGGGTGGGGTAAAGTCTGAAGCCCTCACAAACTATGGAGGCCTTTTACTTTAAAAGTCTCCAGGGTAAAGAATGAATCTGGAAATAACTGAATTAATAAGTTAATCATTAATCAGGAATCGTAATGTATTTGTTTTCCAATTTCCAATTTTCTCGTTTTTTTAACAGAGAATATTTTAACTCTCGTATTTTTATTTCTTAGTTGGATTTTAGTTTTATCGGTTTCGACTATTTTGATTTTTATAAAAGTTTTTTAAAGATCATATGATCCAAGTTAGTTGAGCCAAGACGGTGGCTGTTCAGAAATGATGGCGTCGTTTCAACATCATATGATGTCATCATTCCATGTTATTAGAAAATATTCCAAGTTTCATTGCCACAACTTAAATGATGTAAGAGATAGAAGTTGAGGGCCTCAAAAGCTCAACACCCACTCACCCCACCCCACAACGCTCCCCTCTCCCATCTTCAAAAACCGTGCGGTCTGAATAGGTGATATGTCAATCTAGTCAACTTTAAGGGCCTTTCTCTGTCGTCGGTGGAGTTTCCGCGATAGCAGGATTATCTTTTCACCGGAACCGTGTTTTAATGACCGTTAGTCTTGCCTTCCCTAAAACTGGCCCTGCTTGTTTCGAGTAAGCGAGTCTCGACTTGTCGTAGGAAGGCGAGTCAAACAAAACAGCAACAACAACAACAACAACAACAACAACAACAACAACGACGACAACAACAAAAGTAAAAAAACAGTGTTTTTTTTTTTTTTGGTTTTTGGTTTTGTTTTCGTCTTTTGACAAAATATAGACGTAGTAGTTGGTTGCATAGCCTTGAGATTATTTTATTTTCAACTGCCATGAGCCTTTATGGAACGTTCTCAAAGATATTGAAAGATAGTGATGCTGCAAGCTGTTTCTACCTAGATTTCGAATTCACTTCAATAGGTGGAAGGTACCAAAAGTTTCGAACCACTTCTCCTTCGGAGGAAACAAAACGAAAAGCAAAAGGTATACACGATAACACGAATTATTTTACTATTCTTACCTTGTCGTGCAGTATTTCGAATGTTTCAGTGTCAGATGGTAAGGTTGGCATTTTTTCAAGACTGTTCAGTAGTAAGAGGCTTCTCGATCCCATGTTTTTGAGATTGTGACCTGGAATGCTATTTTCCGAGGAAGGATCGTCTGGATTATAAGCATAAATAACTTTGGTTGTTCCTGCCTGGAAAAATAAAGGAAGCGTTTATTTTACTTATTACTGTTATAAGAAACATTGTGTAGGTTTTAACTAATTTATTTTTTCTTATATATAGTAATGTAGGCGCATCGAGTTTTCTAAATGCACCCAAAAAACTTGTCATTGTCATTGTCATTGTCATTATTATTATTATTATTATTATTATCAAACATAATGTGAAGACATGAATGATCATCACAGTTATGTACGTCACGTTTTGCTCATCTTGAAAAGCTTAGCCTGTTTTTGTTTTTGTTTTTGTTTTTTTTTTAAGTTCGTCGTTTGCAATCCGTTGCAATCTGCTCCATCCTTAATCATCCTTGTTACTTTATGGTTAACTATCATCTCTTGGGTGTATTTCCATGTTGATGTACTACTATTCTAGGGGTTTGGTCAATTCAAGGTAATTCTGCACGCGGCAAATATAACTTGAAATGCCGGGACTCTGCTCCCGTAAGTAGCTATGAAAATGAGGCGATCTGCCTTTTCGTCCCACCAAAGCGTGGTCACTGTTACGCATGAGCTGAATATATTTACAGCACAAACACATTTAGACGGCATTACTCATGATAAGACCACTATTTGTACTAGGCAGTTCAGTTTGCTGATCACGTGGTGGGCTCTCGGGCAATGAAAAAGAAGAAAACGAATACATCAAATAAAAAATAATTTGAATTGTCGCATGTACAGTATAATTCACAGTTGCATACAATAACAGACCGGCCAAAAAAATAAAAAATAAAAGATAAAAAGACAAATAATAAGAATAATAATTTTAATACTAAATAAAAAAAAAGACAGCTACCGGAAATAAGCTCAGGGATAATGAGTCACTTGGACTGGAAAACAGTTGTCTTGTAAGGAACCATAAAGCTAGCTGGAATTATTTTGTTGATGGTCATGTAACATGGCGACGATAACGCCATTTGCAATCGATCTAATAGCAGGTGACTTATTTACCTCAATTTTGTTGTCTTCTGAATCGCAAGTGTCAAACTTTCTTGAAAACTTCATTGCGGTTTTGCCGCTGTCTTCCGTCAGGGAAATCAAGTGATAGTTTTGCTGGGAATCAACCGCTGGCATCACGTAACCATCGGCATGTCGATCCTACATTACAGAACGGTAAATTAGAAATATGTATTTAACACAAGACCCAATAATTTTTTGAAAAGATTTTTTACAACGCTTAAAGGATACATTTAAAAGAATAATAGTAATAAAAAAATAAGAAATCAAACGTTTTCGACGTTATGTCATTTCTTGCCCTGAAGATGACATAACGTCTAAAAATTGGTGAGTGGGTGTTTTTGGTTTGTAAAAATTAATTGTAATTCTATGAATATTACATCACTTCTGAAACTGTTATCTATATTCATAAATCTGCTGTTAAGCGTTCTAAAACCTGATTGACAGTTGGCTAAAAGCCCGGGGTGGGAGAGGGTTGGGGCGGAAGTACTCTCTACACGAAGTTAATGGAGTTAAAGAAAAGCTCAAATTTTCTCGAAAACTTTCTTTTTCGCCATAGATCTGGTCTAATTGACCATTCTTAGTCTCTAACGAGCAAAATTTGGTTCGATGAAGGATTTCATACATTTTTGGTTAACAATGAGAAATTCAATAGATTCAGTTACGACATTTTATTATGTCGTCATATTGTGTCCAGCTGACGAAAATATCTGATGGCTACGCTTTCGATCAGGGACTAACATTTCGCTTACTTGAAGTATTTTTCCCAATAAAAATGACACCCTGTTCAAGGGAATAACAAAAACTAAGAACGGAGTAATTGGGTCAGCTTTATTTCGTGTCTGTAACATTGGGCATAAATTTTCATTTCCGTTTAGCCAGGCGTCGACGCAGTGGAATATTATTAGATACAATTTAGGTACCCTATCTAAGGATCACACCGGGGAACACAATGCCAACAGGGGGCCAAATTAAATGATACCCTATTTAAGGATCGGGAACCTCAAAAACCGCGGCACATACATATATAGCCAGTATGTAGGAGTACCCGGGAGGAGTACCTCCCCCGGGACTGAAAGATCGCAAATTATTCTTTCGAACACCCTACCGACAGCAATGAATAATCGAGATTAAGGGTCTTTGTCTTTTAGCGGACGTAATGGTGAGGGAATGGAACTGATCTTATGTGTACTATCCGTGAAATAATTTTGATACGACCTACTGGAAAGAAAAGTCACAGCAGAGGTTCCATGCAGCCTTATCGCACTGACAAGGTCCGACGATTACAGACAATCAAGTACCCTTGGGAAGACTTGGGTCAATGAAGCAGTTCATTGGTTAATGTTAAAAAAAATATACACATATTGGTCGTCTTTCCAGCGAATATCGGCCTCGTGCATCCGTCGCAATAGTTATATTGACCGCGTATCGGTCAGGGGTTCATGGTGTCGTCAATTGTCATTATTTCACACATTTAGTGTTCTTCTTCATTGTTCTTTTAAAACAAAAACATTTTATGCGTGACTGCGCTAGTGTTATGCAGATTATAGCTGATAATGGTCACGTTTCACTCTCTGGCCCGATGATCGCC